CAAATAAATGAAATCTCTACAATGTATCACTTCAGGTTGAGCAAGACATTTGGAAATGATTAGAAATGTACTTTAATACAGGTGGAGCTCGTCTTACATGTCCTATATGTATTATAGGGCAGTTCATGGTGGTTCACAGACTGTCGTCCTTCTCCTCTGTGCTCTCACAGAGAAAGGCCTGCAGGACTTTCGGTTTAGCGATGTACTTGATGCTCTCTATTTCACCACCACTGTTGCTGGGCTTCTGAAAATGGATTTCCAGATGGTCCTGGAGGTCTTCCTCATCAACCATGTCCTGAATGTCATCCAGGAGGATGGTTCGCTTCGGACAGCCACAAAAGGTCTGAAATAAATCATAACAAATTGCTTTATTGTTGCTCTGCAAACTTTTAACAACTTTTACAACAACACACACAAGTTTTATAACAACTTGTGTGTGGGGGTGGGGGGTGTCGTTGAGACTTATTCATGTAGGCGTGTGTGTATTTGAACACATAAGAAAGCCCTCTAACGCTAACACTGTTTTTCTACAGACTTAGTAATTGTAAAAAAATAAAATAAAAATGCAAATACTGACACTTACTATGATGTTATAATATAATATTTCTATAATTATATGTTTGTTACAAGTTGTGAAATAATTACATATTTTCGTCAGAGAATAATTATTTTACTATAGCCATAATAATTATGTATTATGAATGTTGTAAGTCATAATACACAATGACTATGTAACAAAAAAAGGCTTTTAAATTTAAAGAAGACTTGCAACTGCCAGTGTTAGTCCTCACTGTCATAGTTGACACACCCATAGTATCAATTTCAAAACCTACGCCACCCTGTTCTCAAGTTATGGCATTTCAGAAAACTTGATCTCTGACCTTGACTTGATGTCTCGGTCACTGAGATTTAAACTTGGTAGCCGCACCTTTGGTGTGCGTAACACCCCATCAGCTCTCAATACAACTTAAAAATCCTCAAAAAACAAATACCAAGATAGCTTGAAGTAAAATATAACTATTCTTTTTTTTAGAAGTATTCTCGTTTCTGTTAATCTGAAGGTGCAAAGTTTTATACCAGTTAAGCATTTTTAGTGCTAAAGTGAAATAACTATCTTTCATTAAACTTGCATGGATGCATTTACATAATTGCAAAAAGACATTTACATAATTGCAAAAAGACACAGCCTCCCTAAATATTAAAATAAACAGGAAAAATTTCTCCATATGTCTCTGTTGGTGAAATTTTAAGAAATTAGTTTCATGACACGTTGTGGATTCTGACGACTAGGCTAAGTAAAAGAAAGGAATTATCCAGCAGCAATGGCTATTTTGTTAATTGATTTAGTGATTTCCATTAGTAGCATGGCCTTTAAAGGTACATGGGGTTTGGTAAGTATAGTACATTTTATTTGATATTTTGTATTTTGAAAAATAAAAAGGTTTGAAAGCGTCAGCTTGGGAATTAAAGGTAAACTGCCAGTGTGGGGCCTCTCTGTGTGGGCCCCTGTGTGCTCCAACAGTCCAAAGGCATGCACTGGTGACTCCAAAGAGACTCCAGGTCTAAAATGTGAGCATGAATGTTGCATGTGTCTCTGTGTTAGTCCTGCAACAGACTGGCAGCCTGTCCAGTTAAATGTTGTACAAGTGATAAATTGTGCCAAGTTACCAAAGTGTTTTTAGTCTCAGTGCTGTAACTTACCTGAAATCTGCGCAGCTGGTATTCGTAAATAGGTCCAACCTGCACCTTCACTTCAGTGTCCAGCTCTACGTCGTACCTTCCCCTCAGGACAAGGCTCTCAGTAACTGCACACAAATGCACATACATTTGAGCATTAACATACTTAGCTTGGCTACAACTATTGTAATGATACAGAATAACTTAGAACAACTAACTAAGAATAATGTGTAATGTGGCACAATTATCTTATAGAGTTTTACCTCCAGGTTGGAGAAATGTGACACACCAAGTCCCAGTGTTCTTGTCATACTTCACT